TTTTTTTATTAAAAAGAATCATCTTTGAACTACAAATTTCGTACCAGCTATATTTTTGCAGAACGAATCTGAAAAGTAGCAAAAGCTAAATGGTAAACACCTTATAAAAAAACTTTCGACTTAGTTAGTGAGCAGTATCAATGTTTTTATTCTTAGTCAATATTTTTAGTGATGAGAGATAATGAAAAACATTCTCAATAAGGATTATTTGTAGGCTGAAGGGCTCTCTTTCTAATTGTGTATTGAAAGTTAAACTTGCTCGTATTTTCAATATAAACCCGTTGCTTTATCTACACGAGACCGAATACTTTGGTTGTTTTCATTACTTGGTCATATTGTAGGGAGTAAAAAAAATATTAATTAAACTTTTTCTTTCTGTGGAATTTCTATGAAGTAACATTCAGAACGAATAGTGTGAAATAAACCAACTTCGTATCTATTTTTCAGAGATAACATCTAATTGTCTTTTCGACTGCCAGTTCTTGAAAAAAAAGTATTTTTTACAAAAATTTTAGTATTCAAATCTTTTCGATTAAAGTGTCAAGAATATTCATATTGATAGAGTTTTTGATATGCTACATGTCGGTGTATCTATATGTGAGAGTTTAAAATTAAACTACCATAAATTTTATTGACTTGAAAAAAAGATGCAATCACACAATGAAGTACTGATCTTCAGAGTTCATGCATATTATTATGTCAAATTTATATTGATTCATCATATAGTAAAAGTTTATTTTAGATAAACAGATAGTTTCCAGCTAAGAATTCGAGATATCGGACTGCGATACTAAATCATCGTTTTCTTGTTTACACTTTTTGAATAGGATTTTTCGTTTCTTCCATGCTAATGATAATAATGATGCAACACAAATCACTCCAAATGTCATAAATAATCCACTCAATGATCCAATTCCAATTGCGACAAATGTTGCCGATGAATCAGAACATTTCTTTACTTGAAACCATTTTCTTCGCAAAATATCAAGATTACCTGATTCTCTTAACGATAATATATTAACATCTAAATCTTGTCCATATAACCATTGTTTCGGTGTCATAATACCAAATATACCTTTATCAAAACCTTCACCAATCAATGTCAAATTACAATAAATATTATTAGTTACATATTCTGCAATATCTGTATCATGAAAAGCTACATCGATTAGATTATTTAATAAACTATTAAAAATTTCTTGTCCAGACTTTAATGGGTAATAATTTCGACTACCACTAGAGATTTCTCTTAAATAATATTCCTCAGCAGCTGTACCTACAACAATACCAATACGTTTGAATGGTATCTTACCACTTTTAATATCCTCAATTCCGGAAATAATATTCTTCGATTTTGCTATTGTTAGATCGGATGCTAAGTTTGCTGTATATGATGCAATTAATACTAAACATAAGATATATAAACCAGCAGTTAATAAACGGCCAGTTGCTGTCTTAACATAGAAATCTACACCATATCCAACAAGATTACCAAAAGTATACCATACACTCATTATACATAAATCAAATATTGATTGATTTTGTAGTGTTGGATTTGCTTCTCTCTCTAATAGACAGACCAAAATACTAGCAAAAATAGTAGTACCCAAGATTAATAACCAGAGGTTACGTGAGAATGGTCTCAAAAATGCAAAGAAATTTATATGAACATCAGGATGTTTTCGCATTACAATGCGTAAGGAATTATCAAATATTGAATTCGAAAACCCAACTTTTTCTCTTCTTATAGCAGTAACTGTGACATCACCTATTATTATATCATAAACACAATTTTCTACTAGTTCTCCTAATGAAGAATATGTTCGATTTGATATTAATTCAATATTTGGAATAAATCCCATCTTATTTTGTAAAAGGTCAATAAGATCGGGTATGTATCCAATGAGTTTTGTTAGATTTTGTCCAAATTCATTTGTTCTAGTAGAAACGATTGTGAATGGAACTGATTCAATCACACCAATCCTTAATTTAACACCAGCAAGTTGTGCATTACCAGTAGGTGGTACTAATGAATTACCTGGCCAAATAAGTACACGTGTTTCTGAATATTCTTGCCAACCATCATGATCAGAATATTTCAATACTGGTACGAAATTGATCCCATTTGAAGAAGGTTGAGAGTTTTGTGCAACATAATAACTGCCATTTATTCGATCGGTTACATTAATATTAAATTGTACAGGACCAGAGACACCAAGAAATGTCATACGATTTATTGTGTCGAAAAATGAATTCGAATTGAGAAAATAACCATCAAAACAGGATGAAGAATGGATAAATGATATACATGAAGATGAACTATTAGCACTTTTTGAACAAAATTCTTTTAATGATTGAATCAATAACCAAGTTGCATCGAATGCAAATAATGCGTAACAATCTACATCTGTTGAATTTGGAAATGTTTCAGGTTCATACTGTTTCCAAATATTATAGGCTGCATTTAATAATGTTGTATTAGTTGGTGCATTAAGAACATTGCCTGTTGTAGGTTCAATAGTAAGCATTCCAATTAATTTTTGATTAAATATTTCATTAAAAGAATTTAATGAAACACTTGAACTTAATATCCATGTAAAATGTGGACCAAGTACATCAGAATCAAGTGCATCTTTTAAAATTAAAGATATGTAAGTTGATCCAGCCCATAATACAACAATGCGTGTTGAGCTACTAGTCAAAGCATTTTTCAAATTATCTCGCATACGAAGTGTTGTTATATCAAATACTAACGTATCTGCAACTATCAAACCATTTTTAACAAATTTTTCAATCATTATTTTTGCACCACCAAATCCATATGCATCATTTTGGTGAATAATTATGCACGAAGTCCAATTAAAGCGAATAAATAGTTTTACAATTGCTGATGCAGTTGCATTGTCTGAAGGTACTGTACGATAAAAAGCAGGATAAGTATTTCGATCAGATAAATCAGAATCTGTTGCAGCATATGATATAACAGGTATACCAATTCTTTCACCAAACTCAGCAATAATAGGAGCTTCTCTTGACAATATTGGACCTACAATACCAACAATGTTAGAAGAAGATATTGCTTGACATGTACTACTCATAGCATGTACTGCTCTGCCACTGGTTTTTACAACTTGCCATTGTATGAATTGTCCATCAATTGTTATATTATACTGTTGAGACAGTAAGATTGCTGCTTTAAACATAGCACTAGAATGACTAGATAATTCGAAAGATTCAGATACGTTTGCTTCAACTTGAAACAGTCCTAATAGTTGTATAGAAGACATGTTTAATAAAGGCCAAGTTTCTCTTACATGTTGTCCATTAAGTTGTTCGAATATAAAGAGTAAAACCAACCATCGAAAATTCCAAAATAACAACATCATCGTCATTTTATTTCATTGCAGATAGAATGGTTAAATTGAATGTATAAGATAACAAGTTTTACTAAAATTTAAACACGATAGAAATTGTCAAAGTAAGTAATACTTAAATAATTAGCCTATCGTTATCGATGAAAACAGATTAAAAGATACATTTCATATAAGAAGAATAATGTGCTATTTTCTATTAGAGGTATCAAAATATATCATCATACTATCCAAAGCCCGAAAAGATTTGAAAACTCATGATTCGTAATTGATTGTTGTTATTTTTGATTTCTCTTGACTTTTTGTCCTTCGACTCATAAAGCCAAAATAGCGAAGGTGACCTCCAAACAGCATATTTTTTTGAATAGAGGTTTTTTGTAAGAGCTACTACAAATCAGCAGAAGAATATTTTTTTCAAAATAAAAAAAGAAATACTCAACCTAAATAGTGTCTAATATATGTGAAAAAAAATCAGCTCGATCAGACCTATCATACCAGAGAAACAGAGGCGATTCTACACTGTTTTTTTTTCATAAAAAATTATTTTGAGAAAAACGCGAAACAATTTACTTTATTCTATTTTTGTTACGTAAATTTTATTTCTTCTTTAATTATTTGAAGTTTAAAGACAATATTCGGACTCCAAAATGTAGTTAATAGATAGACTCTACTTGAGACTACTATGGCCACAAAAAAAAAACCAAGAAAATTTTTTTTTTTCTATTATTATACTCATTTATAAAATTGTGCAATCTATTTAGTTTGAACGATATATTTATTGATACAACTCGTGTGTTTTTAATGTCAGAACGCAAAAGAATTTTACGTGTGGTCATACTTACATTCTTTCCAATCAGTCTTAATAAAAAAAAACTCTTGTATACTGATGAATAAGATTCTATATATAATGTCGTTTCAGATAGACTAGTCAATCAAAATAAATCGTCGAAACGTCAGGTAGCTATGATAATATCTACATCGATCAAAATTCTAATTAGGAGTGACATATTTACTTTAGTTTTAAATTAGCGACAGTGTAGGGCGTCCAAAGTTACCTATTTACTTGCAACTAATTAGATAACTGAAAGTTACTTGTTTGGTAGTAACTTCAAAACTTCTATTTATTTATTTACCAGTAAATAAATGAATGGAAGTGAACAAGTTAATAGTAAAGTAAATATTAAGGTACTGCTCTTTATTTTACTAGCTATTGTTCGGTTATAAATTTGTGTCTTGTACGAATGATAAACCTTTCTCATTTATGACACAGTTCGATAGGAATATTAATTTTGATATGCTGATTATATTTTATAATTTCGATGCGTTCCACACTAATGAGCATAATTAAAAAAAAGTAATTATACGTTTGGAAATTTTGCAACTTGCGCGAAAGGTATACGCGTTTGATATTTTGGTTATGTGTCGTGAGAAAAGTTTAAACTTTGTTGGACTTATTATGAATATAAGTTATTTATGAGTAGTAGTTAGGTTGTTCTTATAAGATGGATTATTCTGACATTTAACGGATTTTATAACATTTCAGTTTAAGTAAAGATTATACCGCTTATATTTATAAACAACTAAAAAACACTAGATGAAATTCAAAACTCTATTAAAATTATTCTATGTAAGCTTATAGCCTAGGCAACCAAATATTCAAAGAAAAAGAAATCAAAATTGAACATAGCGAAGTTAGGCTTCAGGATGACAAAGACATGTCGGGGATAGAATGTGTTTCTTCAGTAGGAAATGATGGTTTCTTAGTTGTTGTTTTTTTTAAAGAGAAAGTATGCGCCTTGTTGAGGAAGAAAAGTCTAACGTGACCTCAATCGACTGAAATCTTAGTTTTTATTGTCAAAAAACTAGGTCAAGAGAGTCGATTTTTCAAAACCTTGAACCTAACAAATGTTGGTCATTACTAGTTGGGTGTCAATTCAGGCTCCAACTTTCTCTCTGTTTATAGTCCATGTTTTATTTACAAAGATGTTCAGTTAGTTTTTAAGATCGTGCCATTCAGGAGTGTATTCTCAATCAATAATTCAATATTTCCTGATAGAAATGAAGTTTGTTGAGGCTATGCCAACAAAAAACAAACGTATGAATATTATACAAAATTAACATTCCCACATTCAGCATCCTTTCATTTTCTTTTGTCTACCTTAAGTGTTAAATAAAATCTATCTAATAAATTTAATGAATCAATCTCCGATTTTATCTTGTTTTCTTTTTGATTGTTATTGATTAAATTTTATAAATAGGAAGCGAGTCAGAAGTGTCAATAATAATCAGCATAACTGACATAATCTTGACTAGTCAAAGGTAGAAATGCAGTATATCTAATGTTTATACAAAACTAAATTTCACTTTCTTGGACTTTCGATGATTTTAATATCATTCAGAATGAAAAATATGTGTTCGTTATGCTTCGATAGTTGAATAGTTAGTGTACTGGTCAATATTAAATAGTCTTGGTTATGGGTTCGATTTCGGGTTGAAGCATGTTTTTTCTTATCTGTTTGTTCATCAAAAGTCAAAGGAAGTAAAATTTCGTAATGTATAAACGTGACAAAATCTTCAAAATCAAATCCAATAGACTTAATAATAGAGGCGAAGCTGTTGTTAAATTACAAAAGTTTCAATAGATCAATATGAATTTTGCTGCATACAAAAAGAATACTACACGTTTATATGTTTTTCCACTATTAAAATTTGTAACTTATGTTATGTTGTCCAAATTAGTACTAGTATTCAGGACAAAATAGAGACCGAATCGAATAAGACAACCTTCATTCGGATTCGATTCGAGTCGACTTGCACTTATAGATAAGATACTTTTTGTCAGACCAATTACATACAACATATGTTCTGATTTATTTTCTATACAAGTTATATAGTTTTCTATTTTCCGATTCTGATCAGCTTTTCTATATTTGATCTGTTGATACATATTGAAACACCATTCACTTTTTTAACGAGGAAAAGTACAATAGAAAGTAGATTTGATTGAATAAAACAACTCGTAAAAGTTCGACTGTAATGCATCTGAAAAGTATAATAATAATTGATGCTTAAAAAATTGGAATTTTATGAATAGAATCAATCTTTCAAAACTGAACGAGCGAAAATTGATCGATACAAAAATTCGCAAAAAAAACTTTATACGAAATGGATGAAAGCTTGTTTCAATAAACACTTTATTTGAGACGAACGTATTAAACAGATCCAAGAAAAATAATCGGTAGAAATCACTCAGATATCATCACACATGTTTTCTTTTTTTGTTTTCATAAAAGTCTATCGTTAAAAATCAAAATTTTGTTTTCTATAAAGCTCATCGTAACAAAAGATTGTTGTGAGGTTTTTAAATAAATATCGATCAAAAGAGTACTAATCCTATCAAACAAAATTTTGATTATGAGGGTGTGAGTGTGGATGCTCTTTATGGTTGTTGTACTGAGTACTCTCTAGAACAAAGTACATACTATATGCATACTCAACTCACGCTCACACTCACACCTACCCAAATCAGTCAATTTTCTTATTTCAGAATAATATTTCCGAGCTTTTCTTTTTTTAACTGCTTGACTTCTGACTTGACACTGTTCGATTTCTTTTTATGAAGATACATAAAAACTAATTTTTATAAAACGACTGTTGGCAATTTAAACAATTTAAAGATCAGAATCAATCTAGAAATCGAAGTAATTAAAAAACTAACATTGTGAAATATTACAATGGAACTAGAAAAATGTTAAACTGTTATATCTTGATTGAAGGTAATTAGTTCAAAAGAGTACTTCTATAGTTTGTCCATAGAAATAAAAATTTGATGGTGTCACCTGTCACACGAGAAAATCAGTTGATAAAGGTGAATCAATAATGAAGTTATCCGACAAAACATATTTGGATATAGACTTTGGGACACCCTGTACATTTGTTAATTCATAATTTAAACGACATGTTTATTGACTGTTATCTGGCGCTTTCATCCAAAGCATCACCATCGTTGAAAACATTTAAACACTTTTAACAGTTTGCATATTGAAATGTTTAAACACTGTTTTGCCCATTAACGTGTTTGCTTGAGAAATTGCATGAGACAAATATCTCAAAGCACTACTTTGCATATTGACATGAAAAACAAAGCATGAAGAAAAATAACAAAATAAGGAAATAAGAAATAGATACAAATGCAATGACGTCAGAGAATAAAAGCTACGGCAACGTGAAAAGAAATGATTAACAGATGGAAAAAATGAAAACAAACTCCATTTTTAAAAACTCGAGAAAAACAACGAAAAAACGTGTTTTCACTGTTCAAAGTACATTAATTTATCAAAATGAATTATTTTTATGAGCTCTCCAATATCTGCTTACAATGATGATGTAAGAAGTTCAAATATATTCAGAATTAAACTATTCGGTATACTGCGTAATCCTGGAGAAATTGTGCCTTTTTTCTTCTTTTCAAGATTCGTAAAGCCGATGTATAATTCTCTCTTGTTTCTTTAACATATAACCAGTATTCCTAATAAGTTTTGGAAGCTTTTCAGCCAAATCTGTTAAATGAACAAAAATAGCAGATGGTAGTTTATCATTGTCATACATTGTAAAAGGAAATCACAACACAGAAAGAACAATAATTAATTTTGTCTCAGAACAGATAAAAAGTTAGCTGAGTGAAGTCAATTATCAAATAGATATGTAATCCGTTTGATCTTTTCTGATAAATCACATAAAACAACTTTCTATATTATGTTAATCGTTTTACGATTATAGAAATAAGTCACATATTTTAACTATCTTGAAAATAAGTACTCATATTGTTATGAAACTTTTCCATTCACTCGAAGAAACTAAGTTAACGGTTTTGTTTCAATAATTATATCATTTTATCATGATATTACAACCTTCCA